ACCTTGGGTGATGCTATTTTGACATAAACTACAATAGGAGCCAAGGAAGTCTTGGCCAGTTGGGAAGGGTGATTAATAGTGTCACAATCTAAAACAACCAGTTGTAATGTTCGAGCTAGTTCAAATATCCTCTCAATTTCAGCTTGTACTTCAACTAAAAGGAAAAGGTTAAAATAATAATAATTTCACTATATAAAGTTTTAAGAAACTGTACTGGCCATTTTACATCATAGAACCCTTTCCAGAAAATTTTAAATGATTCAAACAACAAAGGAAGAAAATCGTAGCTTTAAAAGATAGTAAAGAGGTTTTCTAAATTTTTTATGTGTATCAGGGACACTGATAGCTTTGATTTGTACTATTCCAATTTTTATTCTGACGTCTGTGGTTCTTGCAATTCCACTAAAACTAATGCGTTTTATGACTTCTATGCAGTCCCCCTCTAGTAACGTCATAAAACGCATTAGTTTTGGTGGAATTGCATCCCTTTAAGGAAACATGTTTCTTTCTAGTATAACTTTTCAAGGAGTAACTAAGCAAGAGTGAAATCTTGACCTCTATTTAAAAATGACTTAGTATTCTCCATATTTGATGGACCGAACACAAAAATACTATTCCTATTGAGGACAAAATACATCATCTTTTGATAAGGAATAAGAAATCAGGTATTAAGAATAAGAAATAGTTGGAATGAAATCAACTGAAGTTGAGCAGTCCCTTATCACAATTTGCAAATTAAATGTGAAGACTTATTCATACAACTTTATTTTTGCAAGGGCAATACTGTATGATTTAAAAACACAGTTATCTCCCTTATAATGTATATTATGCCAGTGATATTTAATATTGAAAATATATCATCTGTGAGGAATAATGTATAAGTCTTAGAATTTTCTTAAATAACGGAATACAAGTTTATTATATACTAGACATGTGTTTTATTGAACGCAACGTTTCAATAATTTGAATTGTTATCATCAGTTTTAATGATATACTACTCCATGGTTTTTATTATACACAACGTTTCAACAATTTACACTGTCATCATCAGTTTATATGATTTACTACTGTTGAGTTTTATTGTTCACAATGTTTCAATAATTTACATTGTCATTATCAGTTTATATGGTATACTACTCCTGAGTTTTATTGAACACAACGTTTCAACAATTTACATTGTCATCACTAGAATTTTATATAACGGTATCAAATAAATAAGAAATAATACTATTTTTTGATTGACAGATTTGTCTTGCTTGAACGGATCTTCATTACATGACATACTAGTCCAAGAATTTTACAAAAAAAATAAAAAATAAAACATACCTAAACCAGAAGATCTGCTATTTGGTCTTTCTAATATGGCTCTTTTACTGGGGTTATTTAACACAGAGCGTTTGGCTAATGATATATCAGCAGTCACACGCGTTATTATAATCCTGGAAAAAATAAACAAACACTATTATTTATATTGCACAATAATACACACTTATAAAAACACACTGTTAAATAATGGCACATACACATAATGATTCACACTTAGGTGATGATGGGTTATTAGGGCTGCAACGATTCTTAAGTTGCGATTTGATACACTATACAATACTCATCCAACGATACAATTTATTGCCATAACTATCTCGATTCATTTATTAGTGAAGGAAAGAGAAAAAAAAAGTTGAAATTTGTAACAATTTTGTCACTATTAAGCACTTGAGAATATTTAGAAGTAAGGAATTGTGAAAAAATCTCGAATTTTAAAGTCAGAAATAAATTTTTGTAAATTTTGATGTGAAAATGAAAACATGACACTATTTTTTATGTATACACACAAGGATTCTGTGTCATTAGTTATTAACGGGGGCTAGGAATTAATTGTGCCGATACATCATGATTATTTTTATCCAATGCGATGCATCGATAAGAAGGAACAGCGGTTCATCGATGAATCGTTGCAGCCCTATGGGTTATACAATCAAAGGTATGAAATATCAGAGAGATTATGATGAACAACTCAAATCTATAANATTATTTTCATTCAATATTGATAGTACAATACAATAGTATTCATTA